GGGTGAGTCACGTCCAGAGTAGTGAGTGTGGAGGAGGGTGAGTCACGTCCAGAGTAGTGAGTGTGGAGGAGAATGGTAGTGTAGTTATGGAGACATGGTGGTGTAGTTACCAGTTACCTCACATTACTTCCACTAAACCCACACTATCCTGGTCTCTCTTGCTCCCTTCATTCCCTTTATTACCTTTCTCGTACCCCTTATATGACAAGAACTTGAAAAGGAATCCAGATGAGCTATGCTGAAAGAACGTGGTGAGCTATACAGCAGAGGTGCGCATCAACACTGATCAGAATGACACACACACAAAAGTCAGATTTCTTTTTCCAAATGTGGTTTTGATATTGAGTTCGTGTCGTTCGTAATATTAGCACGGGTTTTGTAAGCCTCTGGTTTGGGTTCTTGAGCCTCTGGTTCGGGTTCTTAAGCGTCATGTTCGGGTTCTTAAGCCTCTGGTTCGCGTTCCTAAGCTCTGGTTCGAGCCTGGCTTAAAACTCTAGTTCGAAGCTAATCCAATCCTTAATGAATACTACTCTTCTCTTCCTCAAATGCTACTCCATCGAATGGTAAATTATGCTGTATTAGCATTCTCAAATATTTTGCCAGCACTAGCGTCTATGTTACTACTCGCCAATGCTGACCGAAATCTCTTCCTTTCTCCTGCAGGGATGATGACGCTGGAGCAGGAGAGGGACCATCCCAGAGGGGCTACAGGCGGCGAGGCAGCCTTCCCCGCCCACCCGAGCCTGCAGGCCAGCCTGCAGCCTGCGTCAACTCACCCCCGGCTTCCCCACCTCCACCTCTCCCCGAAGGTCATGAAACCCAGTAGCCACTTCGCGCGTAGGTCGAGGACTCCCGTCAGGCAACTGCAGGTGGATTCAGACACCGTCCTACCTTACCCGCCTCCTCTCGAGTCCTCTGCCCTGTTGGGCACACGCCAGGGGCAGAGGTCATCTAAATCCCCGAGGGCATCTCCCATCCAGGGTCACAGGTCACCGCTGGGGAAGAGGTCAACCCATGGCCACGGCTACAAGCTAGGGTCTGGAGGGATGAAGGGGCCTTCTGAAGGAGGCAGCAGAAGGGGCAGTGAGACGGGCGTGGCCCAGAAACAGAAGAAGCTGGCGTGCGAGGTGGTGGTTCCTCCATTACCTCCGCCTCCTGATCCCAGGGCGCAGAGCCGCATCCCAGCGCAGCCCTCCAGCGTGGAAAGCGCCGAGAGTGTGAACCTGATGGACCTCTCTATTGATACGGAAGAAAGTGTAGTAAGTTTTGACTTAGAGAGTCCCCCTACGGGTGAGCAGACTATGGACGTAGAGTACAATGTCGTGCCGTCACACCCCAGGGCAACAGTGACTCCCCTCGCCTCCCCTGTGTGGGCAGCAAACACACTCACCTCAACCTATCACCCAGCGTCACCCCCGGGGGCCATGAATCCCTCTAGAATCCCCACCATCAGCGGTTCCTCACCAAGAAAAGCCTCCCCCACTGTCCTCTCTCCCGTAGTAGTGAGTATGTCCATCGTGGGAGGTATGAAGCCAGAGGACACGCTGCCGCTGCTGGATATGCCTTGCGACGTGCCCATGAACACTGGGGACACAGTGCCCCTGCTGGGGTCCTCCCTTGACGAGGACTCTATACAAGAGCCAAGACCGAAGGACTTCCGGAACATCGTAACGTTAGGACCTCTGCACCTCGCAAAGCAGTCGATGGTGCAGGAGCCTTCAGGTATTTGCTCCTTCGTCAGTTCCTCCGTCAGCGAAAACGCTTCTATTACCAAAAGCGTCCTGCCCCCTGGAGGTAAGACGCTGCCACTGCTGGGGTTGTCTCCAGCGTCTCTAGGCTCCCCGGGGGCTGGACCCCAGGAGGGCGCTCCAGACAGACCCGAAGTAACCTCCCCAGCACCTCTCTCCACCCCAGATCTTCGTGTTGACATGTTCGAGGCTGACTACCCCGGAGAGGGTTGGCTAGCGGGTAACAGCGACGATAACATGGAGGTTCGATCCCCGCCAGTCCTACCCACTGGCTTCCCGGCCATCACGCCCGAAGACCTCACGCCCGCGGAGCTTCACGAGTTCGATATGAAGTATGGGTCGCCGCATCACGCGCGATCTCGCTCCATCAAGTCCTTAGCGCGTCCTACTCTACTGGCCCTACCTCTAGAGAGACCGAGACTCACGTCCCTCCCGGTTAATGGCGCAGACGACGACGATGACGACTACTATCGTCTCAGGCACTTCTCCATCACGGGTCGGCGTATCGTCAACCGCGGCGACTCGTTCAAGTCGCGTCGCACGCGATCCAACACGAGCGTTGCCTCTGACGCTTCTAGGTGAGTCTCTGTGACCTTACTGGTGTTTACCTGAACGAATCCCCTCACACACACACACACACACACACACACACACACACACACACACACACACACAGACCTGCTTTACCCTGCCTTTTACTCAGACTGGTGTAAGTGCTGCATGATATTGTTCTTGTGCATTGTCTTCCGTGT